AATTTGGCCTCTACTTATTTTACACAACAGCCATACAGACATGAGAACGACAAGTCCAAAATTCAGAATCGAGCTTACGTGAGGAACAAATGAAGTCCTTTAGTTTTAAGTTGCATTTTATTTGCTGGGAGGTGAGTAAACAGGCAGTTCCTCTACTGTTACCTATACATTTCTGTATTGCTGATCTACTTCCCCAACACCGTGGTTTCTTCAAAATATCACTTTTGTCCAATAACTCTTTTAATGGCAACTGAATATGGTACATCAGCTCCGGCCCATGTAATCTACCAGTCTTACCATCGCCCAGAAGCATCTGGCCTTATACAGTGCTGGAATGGCCTGTTGAAAAGTCAATTGTAGCATTATGTAGGAAGCAGAAATCTTCAAGGTTGGAGGGCTGTCCTATAGGATATGGCTGTAGTTCTGGACCTGTAAGCAACCTATAGTGCCATTCTCCATTGCCAGGATGGGATACAGAATGACTCTCCCCACTCTTATGCCCCCCAAAAAATGATTCACAGATTTTCCCCCTTCCTTCTCTCCAAAAATAGGACTTGGATAGTTTGGAGGCTAAAATATTTGGGCTAAGATGCCTCTTCTTTGGAAAATATCCACAGTTCCATTATCTTGGAAACTGACATTTACTTCTTGTCCCCTGTCCATTTTCAAGTCTTTGGGTAACAAAAATTGGGGTTGAGAAGGGGTCACTGTCCTGAATGGGTGAGGGATCCAGATGACCAAGGGGAGTTTGGATTGCTGCTTCCTAATGTGAGAAAGATGATTAGTTCTGTACCTGAGGGGATTCACTGGGGAACCACCTAGCACTTCCATGTGGAGCTGTAATGTTCCACGAAAAACTGATGCAATTCCATAATGGTATCACTTCCAAAAATTCATATATTTCAGCAACAAATTCCTAGGTTATTCCCACCAGGTACACATCCACCCACCAACATTTCCAGGTGCTGACAGAGTATAAGAAATTAGTTTCATAGGGAGATAAGATGACTTTTCCTTCACCCATTCCATGAGAATGTGTAGGAAACTTTCCTGTAACCACTAAAGTTACAATTTAGGACCCGTGTTTTATTATAATCAAATCGACCTCAAACTGTGTGTTATGCAAGAGTATTTTTTTATCTGATCAGAGTAACAGTGGGTCCTGGCTGTGGAAAAAAAGTGGTGAATTGGTTAGGTTATTCTCAGTTTGTTCAACCAGATATATGCTTCTCTACAAGGCTGTGTTCCAGAATGCTGATACCATGGACCGCATCACTTTGGCTTCCTTGCTTTCTGGTTAGTAGATGATTTGAGCAATGAGAGACAGCAACCAGAAATGAAAGAGTAGAAGAAGAGAGTGTCTCCTGACACCGTGTGTGCACTCTCCACTCAGCCTCTAATCCCTGGCAGTCAGCTGCGTCCAGATTTCCCCCTGAGGAGGCTACGTATGGCCTCCACTAAGATCTGAGAAAAATCTCTTTAGGAAAATCTGGCCAAATCTCATCGCTCTCCTGTAGTCACTCCCCTTCCAAAATTTATTTGTGAGTCTGACTTCTGGGGACACAAGTCAAGCCCAGTAAGGGTATGCTGAGTAGCCACAACCTTCCAGTAAATTTGAAGTGTAGTGGATTTTCCTCTTGAGAACTCAGCACACCATGCAGTTCCTGTGAAGTGGGCTTCCTGATCTCCAACCCACCCAGACTTCCAGTGTGAGTAGACACCCGCAGGTGGGTGAGTGGTCAGAGGTCACATGACTGTTTATGATTGCCTTCTTTACCAGGGCTCCATTGTTAGGCAACTCCTTGCAAGATGGGAGTTAGTTGGTATCAATTGTTTTGGGGCACTAGCCAAGTCTGAGACTGGACAGAGTTTCACTTGAATGTGCTGCTGCTCTAGTTTGGATAACTTTACTGACTATGTATATATCCAAGTACTGCTTGGCACAGTTGAGTAACTGTTTGGTACATAATTCTGTGCTACTTGTTTTCTCACTCAGTATAATAGTGAGATTTATCTGCATGTAACTCTGTATCCTAAATTCCGTCTCTTCTGTTGTGTGGCCATGGAGTGTGGGAGGTTGACTGTTATCAGCCTCTGCTCCTGTGGCTTTGGCTCCTTCTTGCCTTACCTGCTGCTTTTTCAGCCTCCATTCCCCACCTCTTCTCCACCTCACAGTCACTGTTTGATGCTGGACTGCAGGTAAACAGTCACCAACGCAGGAGTGTCCAGGCAGCATTCCCCACAAAAGTGCACCCAGGAGGCCCCTCTACCTGGCAACCTCTAACTCATCCCCTCCATCCTACAGCCAACTGCATCCTCTGAGGAGAGGTTGGTGGCTCCTTTTTGGCAATGCTGAATCAGAGCAGGGACAGAGAAGGCGACAGGGACAGAGAGGAGGGTGAAAAGGACATAGAGGGGTTAAATTTTCTACCCCATAAAAATCTGAGCCAGGTGCAGTGGCTCACGCCTGTAATCCCAGCACTTTGGGAGGCTGAGGTGAGAGGATCACGAGGTCAGGAGTTTGAGAGCAGCCTGGCCAACATAGTGAAACCCCATCTCTAATAACAATACAAAATAAATTAGCCGGGCGTGTTAATGGGTGCCTGTAATCCCAGCTACTCGAGAGGCTGAGGCAGGAGAATCACTTGAACCCAGGAAGGGGAGGTTGCAGTGAGCCGAGATCATGCCATTACACTCCAGTTTGGGCGACAGTGCGAGACTCTGTCTCAAAAAAAAAAAAAAAAAAAAAAAAAAATCTGGAGGAGAGCTGACTGAGGGGCAAGATAACGATAGGCCTAAGCCTTAGATGTAGGGGAGGGGACACAGGAGGGGCCTTGGGGAATGCTGAACAGGCTGTGAGAACACAGGGAATTGGAGAGGAGAGGAAGTGAGGACAGAAGGGCTGCTCACAGGCTTATTTTGCATCTTTAAAGGACATTAAAGGGCAAGAGAGATGCTTAGAATTTGTGATGGCTTTAGTAAAGTAAAAATAAAATCCTGGCCGGGCGCGGTGGCTCAAGCCTGTAATCCCAGCACTTTGGGAGGCCGAGACGGGCGGATCACAAAGTTAGGAGATCGAGACCATCCTGGCTAACACGGTGAAACACCGTCTCTACTAAAAAATACAAAAAACTAGCCGGGCGAGGTGGTGGGCGCCTGTAGTCCCAGCTACTCGGGAGGCTGAGGCAGGAGAATGGTGGGAACCCGGGAGGCGGAGCTCGCAGTGAGCCGAGATCGCGCCACTGCACTCCAGCCTGGGCGACAGAGCGAGACTCCGTCTCAAAAAAAAATAAAATAAAATAAAAATAAATAAATAAATAAATAAATAAATAAAATAAAATCCTAAGCCCTCACCAACAAAATTGACACTCCTTTGGCCAAGGGGATCCTAGAAGAACCTTAGAACTGAGTTCCTGGCCATGAGCAGATTGCAGTCAGACAAGCCTCATTATACTCCCTCTCTTTTATGGTTTAGACATAACTCATTAGCATTAATGTTCAAATAGACATCATAATAAGGACAGAACAGACTTTTTGAGGCAATAAGATAAAAAGTTATAAACAGGATTGAAGGATGTCAGGTAAGGGTTAAGTCATGCACCCTTATGCTGAAAGAATAAAGTATGTTCCCACTGCCACAAGCTTTTCTTTTTCTCTAGCAGTTAAACAAGCACTGACCTAGAGATAAGCAATATTGAAACAATTGCAACTCACTTATTACCAGATGCTGACTAACTGACCCTCAGTCTCCTGTACCATAACCATAACTACAGCTTTCACTGGGCAATAGATTGATTGCAGTAACTCTCTCCTAATAAGAAACCACCGGCCATGGACTGGCTCTGGCTGGATTATAGAGATTGAGCACTTATGTGCCTACGTGCCCTGAAAGATCTGTTGCTGTATAGGGCCTAAATGTGATACAGCTAAATGCACGCCAAGGTGAACACGGGTGGTATGTTACAGGGATGTTTCTTGAAAACGAATGTGTCAGATCCTCCTTATGAATATTCATAGCTCCTCCTGTAACTTGTAGAATTTGTATGTTCAGCCAACCCATTCAGCATAAAGCTCTTGCCCCAACCCTTCCTCCTTCCAAGTGCCAGTCTGTGGTCTTGGCCAGAGGCACTCTTCCCAGCCTGTGGCATGGCTGCTGTGTAGGCTGCAACCCTTTCTAAGAAATAGAGTCTCCTTCTCTCCTTTTATAAATTTATACATTGTGATTTTACATAAGTTAACACTTTTGAGGTTCACCTTATGTAAGTTTCATCTTACTCCTAACTTGAGCTTGCCAATATCCACTATTGCTCTGACCTCTTTGCCCTCCCTGTCCCCACTTCACCTTTAGCTGTCACTTCTTAGTGACAAATTGCCCATATAATTCCCATTTCAGGTTTCTTGGAGTGAGTATCTGACTTGCTCAGCACATTCCTTGGGGACAGAGCTTTTTGAATGGGAGCCATCTCACATGTTTTGTTGAACTATTGGGTGGCTTCCCTTCAGGAAAATTAACTCTCTTTGAATGGCTGTGGCCTGAAGGTTTGTTTGACATGCCAAAAAAAAAAAAAAGAAAAAAAAAAGCCACCAGGACATTCTACTTTCCTGGGGACAGTGAGCAGGGCAATTGCCTCTGGTAGGCTCTGTGGACATGATATCTGCAATGTTAAAGCATACCCCACACTCCCAGCCCTGGTGTTGGTCTGCTCTTAAACAATGTCTTTTCACTAGGACAAGCATTAGGTTTTAGAGGGGAACACTGGGGCTGTCTCTCCAAAATGGCTAGGGAGAAGAGTCTTTGCTCTTTGAATGCCAAGTACTACATCACTACGACTTCACAGTGTTTTTCAGTTTGATGGTGGGGGACATCTTTTGTGCAACATGATCTTACCCTCTGCTCCGTGTCTGAGCACCCCTTGCACTGTGTGTTAGGATGAACAGAAGCCCCTTCCAGTGTAACCCAACTAAGCCCTGTCAGCAAACATACATCCAACCCAAAAGAATGAAATGACAGACTCTGTTTTAATGGCTCAAACATGGGAGGAGTTTATTGTTCTAATTATATTTAATTTCTCAAAATTCTGGGCAGGCCTCAGCACATAAGCCACATGACTTTTGTCCAAAGCCATGTTCACCCTGGAGTTGCTTTATGACAGCATCCATAGCCACCTTGACAGGTCGATGTCACTTCTGTGCCTGCCCAGTTGTCTGTTGATTAAAAAGACCAGCACATTTTTGGTGGGCTTCTTGCATTTGAAGGACTTGTCAGGCTTCTTGATGTTCAGCGCAAGCTTGTTGGGACTGGCTTTAGGGAGTTCTTTATCCATGACACAGCGGCTCCAAACAACCTCAGGAAGACAGCTCAACAAAGAAAGCCTGAAAAAGATGGTGATTCCAGACAATCAAGTGGACCTGGGACCTCTTCTTCACTGCCACACACTGACACAGCCACATATTACACGCACGCGCACACACACACACAAACACACTCAGCTACCAGCAGTAGTCACAGGCGATTGCTTTGGGCCATGATCTGATTTGAAATGCCAACTATATCATTTATTCAATCTGTCTCACACATGGACTGTATAGGAGCCTGATGGGACCCAGAACATTAAGGATACACTGTTGCATCAACCCGATCTTCATCTGACACACACAGACTTGTTAGATTGCACTCAAAGCACTAGCTTAAACTCAAGCGTTAATGTAATTCTTATATCCACACTAATTTTAACTCAATTTTATGTTGCTCTTTTGCAGAGCTGCCTTCTCCTCACCTCTGTCTCCTTTGAAAATCATTGGTAGGCCGGGCGCGGTGGCTCAAGCCTGTAATCCCAGCACTTTGGGAGGCCGAGACGGGTGGATCACGAGGTCATAAGATCAAGACCATCCTGGCTAACTCGGTGAAACCCCGTCTCTACTAAAAAATACAAAAAACTAGCCGGGCAAGGTGGCGGGCGCCTGTAGTCCCAGCTACTCGGGAGGCTGAGGCAGGAGAATGGCGTGAACCCGGGAGGCGGAGCTTGCAGTGAGCTGAGATCCGGCCACTGTACTCCAGCCTGGGTGACACAGAGAGACTCTGTCTCGGAAAAAAAAAAAAAAAAATCATTGGTAAAGCAGGTATGGCTCTTACTCCAACCCCCTGTGTAAGAAATAAACTGTACATTCTCAAGTGATACCTAGTTTCTGTTTCTAAGGCCCATCCTGCTGAGTTTCCATGTAGGGAATGTAATCTCAGTGATTTAAAGATTGTACTCACCTCTGATACCTGACCCTGTCTCACTCCCAAAAATGCTGTGTGGTATTTTATTTGAATCTGGCACAATGCCAAGGCCAGGGGTGGATGCCAACTGTGTTCTCAATTTTGGGCTCCCAAGAGAGATTAAAGGACTTGCCCAAGGTTACAGAGAGGTGAGACTGGAACTGAGAAAGCCTGTATCTGAAGCCTTGTGCTCCTACCCACTCCTCCATAGTGTCTCTGTATCAGTTTGAACAAATGACTCTCCCATACCCTCCCCCGATTACCAAACAGGGTTGGGGTTTATCAGATAAGTTAGTTAGGTAATGGCACAACAGGATGCTTTATGATCTTGGTATATCAGGATATTTTACCTGTCAGGCCACTCAGATTGCTTTTTAGGAACGATCTGGACCAGAGGGCAAACAGTAAGAGGAAACATGCTTTGGCACTCTTTCTCTTTCCCTGAGTCCCAGGGCCTTATTGGTTCGGTACCAAGTGAAGTCATGGTTACTATGGTGACTCACAATTGCCCTCAGAATCTAGTGCCAACAGTCTGCAAGATTCAAACGCTGGCCACCATCACCTGGCTTCCTTCTGGTTCAGGACTCAATAGGGTGAGGAAATTTGCTGGGTGAGGAAGCAGGTATATCCTGTGGCTGGGCGCTATCTGCGTGTCTCTTTCCTGGATGAAACACTCAGCTATCCTGACCTCAGAACTTCTTCCTGGCTTGTGCAAAATTCCTTCGTTAAAATTTCTCCTTTGTGTAGATTAACAGCACCCACTGCATCTTGCCAGGTTCCCTGGGTAGTGATCAGTAACTTTGTCTGCCATGCTCCAATCAGGGAATTAGTCTCAGGTCAAATTTCCCACTTACTTGTCAATCTCTGCATCCTGCCTTGGTCATGACTCTGCAATTACTCCCTTCTATAATACACAATTCATGTAAATGGAGTGTTTATTTAGTCGCAGAAATTAAACACTGCAATTTGACACTGCTGTGTCTCACACACCTAACCCCGTCCCAAAGCTCAGTGCAGTGGAGCGCCACACTTTCATTATGGGAAACTAGGATGTAGGTAGGCTTTTAATGCTTCAAAAAATCTATGCTAAAACTGGTCCAGTTCCTTGAGACACACTCATATGTTTCAAGCCATAGTCCCTTCCAAGTCTCTGATCTAGAATAACTATATTGTTGCCATTAAAGTGTGACCCAGGTGGGTATTGTCTAGATGCAGGACATGATTTTCCAGGCTGTCCAAGTGTATTAGTCAGGGTTCTCTTAGAGGGACAGAACTAATAGAATATATATATAGTATTCACTTACACGATCACAAGGTCCCACAATAGGCTGTCTGCAAGCTGAGGAGCAAGGAGAGTCAGTCTGAGTCCCAAAACTGAAGAACTTGGAGTCTGATGTTCAAGGGCAGGAAGCATCCAGCAGGGGAGAAAGATGTAGACTAGGAGGCCAGGCCTGTCTCAACCGTTCACGTTTCTCTGCCTGCTTTATATTTGCTGGCAGCTGATTAGATTGTGCCCACCAGATTAAGGGTGGGTCTGCATTCCCCAGCCCACTTACTCAAATGCTAATCTCCTTTGGCAACACCCTGTAGGCACACCTAGGATCAACACCCTGCATCCTTCAATCCAATCAAGTTGACACTCAGTAGTAACCACCACAAGTCTGCCCCTTGTCAACTTGAACCCATATACATCTCCTGAGAGCACACATAATCTTCAAATAAAGACAATAATAAGGTCATAATTATGTCTAACATAATACAACTATCCTTCGTACAACTGGAAACGCACCAATCCCCAACCCAAATATTATTACATAAAGTTAACAATACTAAATGCTGATATAAAGTCAATAAATCTTATGTCACATGATAAAGGAAAAGGAAATAAAGATATTTTCTTAGTGCAAGTGTATACATGCACAAACATGTTTTTAACAAAAGAAGGAGAAAATAATCATGACAACTACAATTCTCATTTCTGTAGCTGGTCACGTGGTCGTAGCTAGTATTGATGACTACCTTCTTCTACTACCCATTCTGTATTCTCTTTGCCTTCAGCAAGCACCTCCGCAGGTCATGGTTTTTTTCCTGGTGGAGTGACTGAAACCTTCATTCCTGAAGGGTCTGGGTCATTTGTAGTCCTGCCTGGATTGGGCTGTTGTAGTTTCCCATTGGCCTTAATCACAGGGCATGGTAATACTAAGAGACGCCCTAATGGATCTCCTGTATTCCATGCGTACACTTTTTTTTTTTTTTTTTTTTTTAAAACAGAGTCTTGCTCAGTCACCCAAGCTAGAGTGCAGTGGCATGATCTCGGCTCACTGCAACCTCTGCCTCCCGGGTTCAAGCGATTCTCCTGCCTCAACCTCCTGAGTAGCTGGGATTACAGGCGCGTGCCTGTAATCTTTTGTATTTTTAGTAGAGATGGAGTTTCACCATGCTGGCCAGGCTGGTCTCGAACTCCTGACCTCAAGTAATCCACCCGCCTCAGCCTCCCAAAGTGCTGGGATTACAGGCATGAGCCACTGTGCCCGGCCCATGTGTATCCTTTCTTACCTCTGTTGTGGAGTAGTAAGCTGATTTCATCTTGATAGTCTGGGTCAGTCACCCCAGTCAACACTATAACTTCCTTCTTAGCCTGTTGACTTAAAGGTAGGAGGAGCCCAAAATGGCCAGGTTGTAAACTTAACTTCCAGTTTAATGGAATCGCTGTTGTGTCTCCTAGCATTCCTCCCTCTGGAAGTAAGACCTCTAGGCCAGCAGAAGGTAATGTAATGTCACGGGAACAGGAAGCAAAAATTTTGCTTTCATTATCACATTCTTTTTTTTTTTAGACAAAGTTTTGCTCTTGTTGCCCAGGCTGGAGTGCAGTGGCACAATATCAGCTCACTGCAACCTCCACCTCCTGGGTTCAAGTGATTCTCCTGCCTCAGCCTCCCAAGTAGCTGGGATTACAGGTGCCTGCCACTGTGACCCGCTAATTTTTTGTGTTTTTAATAGAGACAGGGTTTCACTATTTTGGCCAGGCTGGTCTCGAACTCCTGATCTCAGGTGATCCGCCCGCCTTGCCCTCCCAAAGTGCTGGGATTATAGGCGTGAGTCACTGCGCCCAGCCTCATTATCACTTTCATCATCAGGAGGGCAGGAAGCATCCAGCACAGAAGACAGATGTAGACTGAGAGGCTAGACCTGTCTCTACCTTTCATTTTTCTCTGCCTGCTTTATATTCACTGGCAGCTGATTAGATTGTGGCCACCAGATTAAGCATAGGTCTGCCCACTTACTCAAATGCTAATCTCCTTTGGTAACACCTCACAGACACACCCAAGATCAACGCCCTGCATCCTTCAATCCAATCAAGTTGACACTCAGTATTAACCATCACACAGAGGGATAACGGTAAGGATTGTGCTTTGTGTTTTTTGTAGTGGGGTTCTCATGAGGAACTAAAATGACTATTATGAGGAGACGTGGCTTGCCTACACACTGGCTGCCCACTCAATCTTATGTAAGAACTGAGGAAATTGAGGTTCCTGTAAAGGGATGCAGCACACTCCCTTTCTTGAGTAGCAGGGAAGGAAGGCTCAGTCTTCCGGGTTTTCTTCTACCCCACGTAGAACCATGTAAAGACCATGAGGCCATGTTCAGTGTCCTAAACAATTTGAAGAGGGAAGAGAACTTATAGGTATAGAATATTTTATTAACAAAGAAAGTGGAAAACTGTCTTTCTCTTAAGGAACTGACATCCTAGAAAACCCAGGCAATCACCTAGGAAGTAGGCCAGGAGAGGCTGACTGACAGAAGTTAAAAGCATAAAAATTTGCATAGTAGGCCAGGCACAGTGGCTCACGCCTATAATCACAGCACTTTGGAAGGCTGAGTGGGGTGGATTACTTGAGCCCAGGAGTTCAAGAACAGCCTGGGCAACATAAGGCGATCCCATCTCTACAACAAAAATAAATAAATGAAAAAATTGCATATTCTTCCAATAAATAGGGAATATAATAGAAATAAAATATCTTACTTACATTGGTCACAATCGTTATGAAACACCTAGGAAAATGATGAAGACACATATAAGGAAAACAAACATGCAACTTTTTATGAGCTTCCAGTTTGAATATTCAAATAAGATTTTAAAATACCACATTTTTCTTAAGAGGAGGATCAATTTTTGCAATGGCATCAATTATCCTCTAAATAAATCGGTAAATCCAGTACAATCCTAATCAATAAGTCACAGCAGAATTTTGAGTGTTTGTGTAACTGGAAGACCAGATGAAATTATACTGCAAAAAAATGTGAAGGATTATGTTAAAGGGGGAGCTTGTCATTCTGGACTTGAAACTTACTTTGTAGGATTAGTAAATGAAACAGGAATTGATAGACATGTCCACGGACCAACATAGATTCTAGAAATATATTCATGCAAAGCCGACTCTTTTGGTCAAGTGTGTGTGTGTGTGTGTGTGTGTGTGTGTTAGGGAGGGGAAATGCAGAGGGGTTTCCAGGACTACTTGGTGCTTCTCCTTCAGGTAATTCTGAATTCCATCAACTTTCACAGGTCTCTCTTCTGTGCTGTCTTCCTGGAGCCATCTGTGGAGTCAAGCA